AATCTGTGTAAATTGTATAAGACTGATCAGTGCATGATGCTGACAAACAACGGAAATGGCTCTTTTCACCTGAATGCTTCCTCCTCTTCCCAATTACAAAACTTTGAAGTGTTATAGTATTCAGGCATAGTTTCCGAAACAGAATAACTACTGATAGAGCTGGAGGACTTTGGAAGCATCAAGATAACTGAAGAAGCAGGAATAGGAACTTCACAGTAAAATAGAGTTAAAAACAAACGACGTCAAGATAGTGAGCGAAAAAAAATATTTTTATGAGCACTCCAAAACATATGCTCCAGATAAGTACAGGTTTCATTTGAAAGCAATCACAAAAATGTAATATTGAACTTGACAAATTTCCTAATTTAACACAAAATCTGATGGCAACAATAATTGAATAACAAGTAATAAATTATATCCAGGACTTTATCTGTTGATGGTTAACTTCATTCGATGACATTTACCTGTAACAGCTTTCAATTTTTTTCGTATAAAAACTTTGTCCATAAGCATAAAATAAATCACGGCACTGAGAGCAGATAGAAATCAAGTTCTTCTTCTTTCAGGTCACTTAGAAAACCGCCTTCAGCCCAGCAGAGCCTCATATGTGCTTTGTGGCTCGCTCTTCCTGTTTCAAAATTTGAGAACAATACAGTGAGCCATTGTAAACACACACATTGTGCACTTCAACTCAGAGGACATCGTTCTCCAGCATTCACACTTCAGTTTTAAGGGAAACATCATGCAAATGTTGAAACATTCAAATCATGTTTGTGTTTTCCTTAACACACCTTCATCCTGCATGATTGCAGCATTCAGGCTGAGGTCTGTGCCCCTTCTTCAGATGAATGTTTTTTGTGCTCAAAAAAATTAATCCCATTCGTAAAGATATACACCTCACTTTCCATTCAGGGAGCGCTGCAGTTTCAGTTGAGGAGTCCAGGTGTACTGGGCAAGATACCTCTCAGGACACGAGAATACCTTCAGGTTTGTTTACTGCAGTCATTGTGGAGGCACTTTAGCCTTGGAAGTTTCACTTTCCAATTTTGGAGCTACTGAAGCAGACTAGCTCTGGGACAGAAGTGTTCTGCAGCTCATACAAATTAATGGTTTACCTGACTTCTGGCTAAGGCTTATTTCTTAAAAACAGTAGAGAATAAGGCCAACATTGTGGCAAGTTTTTAGCTTCTCTAACTTGACCTTTCTTTGGCCAGTGAGTTGACACCCAGGAATGCTTGTTTCAAGGTCCACCTTTATGATTTCTCTGGGAAATGATCAAATTGTACAAGCAAGTCAAATTAACCTTCTACCTCCTGCAACCCCTCAAAACGTTATCAGAACTCACTCATTTTTACTGAAAGGACATTTTTTTTCCTGTTTTTCTTTAATCATCTATGATGCTTTCCCTCCCAGCGTTACCTGAATGGCGGTCTCTAACTCCAGCAGCGTCTGCTCATAGCGAGGAACTAGTGCCTTCAGGGCTTCGGGTTTGATGATCTGTTTCTGGATCCCAGGGCTGCCTGCATCCTTCAGCATCTGGAGGAATCTTTTCTCCTGAAGGAACACGCGTGTGGATTTCATGAACAAAAAGCGGTGCATTCAAAACCGACAACATGTAAACATCTTCACGCAATGTGTGGGAGGGGAAGTCAACAAGTCGTGTTGTCAAGCCCTGTTGTGAAAAAAAACAGCTGGATGAGATCCTCAGACCAATCAACTTCCAAAAAACAAATGAGCCAGTTGATCTGAATGGCCACCTCTGCTCGGCAAAACTTTATCTTATGCTCTGGTTCTCAAATTTTAAGGTGAACCCTTTGAACCTTCAGCGCCGATTGTGACACTGTAATTCACATTCCGGAGCAATGATTCGTCATAGATCATTTATTCAGTTTGATGATGACACGCCATTCTGCTCCAGTGGATTTCACCTATGTACTGTTACTTAGCTACACACACTAGGATTACAGAGTATTACCGCAACTCACCTGAACTCCCAGCAGGAATGTAAAAGCCAGTCCAGCCTTCCCTGCCCGGGCTGTCCGCCCCACCCTGGGAGACAATGCACAAACACCAGGCTCACAGATAAACAGCTCACACTGACACAAAGCCTACCCTTATCTTTATTACCGAAAACAGCAAATACAGAGACAACATCCTCTCCCCCACACATTGAGAAGTCAATTTAGAAACATGTTTGTGCCTCAAAATGTAACCAAGATTAAGAAATAATCAAATTCACTACAAAACTTTCCTCTGTCAATTTGTGCCATAGCCATTCCTGGATTCATGCAGAGGAGAAAAACGCTTGATATTGCATGACCGTCATAACCCAACAGTTAATGACATTGTACGGTTTAAAAAAGCTTGCATTAAAAATGTAAGAGTGATTTAGAATGCATTAAAGGCTTGTGATTTTTCAAAACGCTTTCCAGTGATGGACATTTCACTCACCTGTGCACATAGGTTCTGATAAACTGAGGGGCATCGTAGTTAATGACGCACTTTACTCCAGAGACATCGATTCCTCGGGCAGTGGCGTCAGTGCTGATTAACCTGTTTGGGTGGGGGAAAACATTCTCATTTTCTTCAATACTCCAACATGCAGAGTGTGCAGGTGCACCTTGGATTCTGTGTGGGTCCTACTCTACTCTACAGTACAGAGATGGGAACACTACACTGCAAAAAAGGTACCATCCATCAGATTAGGTAAAACTGGGGTCCTGACTCTCTGTAGTTATTAAAAATCCCAAGGAGTTTCTCAAAACGAGTAGGGGTTTAACCCAAGTGTCATATGCCAAACTTTCCCCTAGCCTTTACCAGTCAAGGACTCCTAATAATCCCCATCTACGAATTTGCTGCATTGCTCTGTTCTCCTCCCCATTGATAACCGAAGTGTGGTGAGCGTATGTGGTGAGCGTCCTTTGGCTACCATTGCATCATTGATGGTGGTAGATGGGAGTCCCCATTACCGATATAAAGCATGTTACGTGGTGTGTCAAGCCACGGATCAATCCACTCGCCAAAATGTTAGCCTCTTGGGGAGGGATGTTGGAATGCTCTTGAGAATCCAGGAGATGGATATCCCTCTCATAGTCTCCTCTTAACCATGAGACTTTGTTACATGAATGCTATCTAACCCACATGGTATCACGCCTTGTACCCCGAGTGTAATGGATGATATCTTATGACAGGCTGATACTGCTCAGGAATGTGCAATACCTAGCTGGCCAGCACAGATATAAGGGCAACTCACAGCTGGATTTTCTCCTGCTCAAACTCTTTTAGGGTCTTCTTCCTTTCGTTGGGGCTCAGGCGTGAGGAGAACTCGGCTACCTGCACACCACCAAACAAGCGAACCAGCAGATAAAGCCTACGGGAGAGCAACAGAAACTCTCAGAGCAACAAGCCAAGGAAAAGATTCAATGTAAGAGAAACTGCGTAATATCTTAAGAAAGATTAAGCATTTGTTATGTACTTAGCATCTAGTTCTTAATACTGTAGCTGTTACCCAGACAGTTAAGTTCCCAGTATTGGGGCTTAATGCCTGTTGTAAATGGTTAATCACGTAACTTAATTATTCATTCACATTAAATGCAATTTTTAATTTGATTTATTAATTACATTAATGCCAGTTCAAAGCTATGACTGGGTAAAGCTGTAAATAATGAAAGTTTCACAATAAAATGGTCACAGAGGTATAACTTGGTTCAGCGTACAAACGGCTAGTTTCACTAATGACTGAATACACCACTGACATGAAGGGACATATTTAGTACATCCACCAAACAATTTCTCATTTAAATTTTTAAAAATTGGGTTTTTAAGTTAAAAAAAAGAAAAGAAAAACAAACCACTTCAGACTGATGGCAAGCACGTGATTTTTTTTTTTTACTTGGTGGCTGTACAGAACTGAAGTTTAAAAGTTAAATCCTAAGAAGTTCGGGATTCTCCTCTGCCTGTTTTTCGTAGTTGGTACCTGGATAAGACAGCAGAGGGAACGAGGTGCCGGCGTGCTGTACACTCTCACCTGTGAGACGCCTCTCTGGAGTTTGTGAAGCACAGGACTGGGCTGAACTTCAGCCGCAGAATAAAATCCAGAATGATCAGAGGCTTGCTGTTGAGAGTGCAGGGCACAAAGTATTCCTGCAGGACAGGTGAGGAAAAAAACTATGAATAAATTACCAATGTGTGCACTGAAAAGGCAAATTTAAAACAACAAACTACCATGGCGTTTCATACTGATTTTTCATTTTTTTGCCCTTGCATTTAAGAGATGTGCTAGTGAAAATGCTGCCTGGGTTTTTAACAGAGTTGTATGGCACTTTTTTAATAATGAAAGAAAGTGGAATCTTTTATAGCACCATGGCGTAAACACCACATGATTGGCTTTGAAGATCCAGATTAGTACTATTCCTCATTTTGTGGATATAAATTAACAAGAGATTATAAAGAATAACGCTAATCGATAATAAACTA